GTGCAGACAAACAATTATATTCATTCAGAGGTGCATGGTAAATATTTTTTATCGTAACTTTTACTTTGATTTTGTTACATTCAAAATATAAAAATTATACTTTTACTTATTTCCTTTAAAATTTAACACCTAGTTACACCTTACAAGTTCAAATATGAACAGAACTGATCATGAAAAGAGTTATAAACTCTAAAAAATGAAGTGTTGAAGTTACTTAACCAAGTTATGTTAAGTGGTTTCACTAAACCCAATTGAAAAAAAAACATAAAGCAATTTACTCAACTCAGTAAAATCAACACCTAATTTCTTAGAGTGTGTAAGTACTTTTGCTTTCCTTATTATTGTGAGCAGTTTTATGACTTTTACTTAAGTACTTTTCTTATCAGTAAAATTATTTTTTACCAAAGGCATTTCTTGTTAAGGTGTTTTTACTTTTACTTAGGTATTTCTTTTAAAGACATTCATTTTTCATGCAACTGTGAACGATCCTTCTGTGATTGTTGAGATTTCCCCATGTGAAGGAACAGGAAGTGATGTCAAAGGGGAATGTCTGCATGTGAACAGAGCGTTGCTAAAATGYCCGACAACACAGACTGTAGAGAAGAATCTGATGTTTCTTTAAAATATRTTGAGTCTCTATCAGAAATAGATYAAGGAGAGMCAGAATTCAAATAATATTGTTTCAATAAACAAAGACAATGTTGTTCCCTTTCTTAAAGAATTCCCCTTTGATGTCACTTCCTGTTTCATTTCAGCTGAGCCAAATTAAAAACAATACGCCATTGATGTGACTAAATGGGTAAAATTGTGTATATTACATTTCTTAACTATAAAAATGTTTATTTGACTTTTTTGTTTTTGAAGGATATGCATGTAACAGACACATTCGGTGCTTCTTACAACTCTGGTTTTAAAAACACAAAACTGTAAAACTCTTTTCTTCTGCTCTCTTTCAGGTGTTTTACACAAACCCTCGTTACATCCTATTTCTCCATCTTGTGCTGAACGATATGATCCAGCTGACAATATCGGTCGTCCTGTTTTCTGTTGCTTACATCTTCTACAGAATTAGTGTTCCTGTCTGTTTCTTTGGTGTAATTGCAGCTGTTTGCATCACCATAAACACACCGTTGAATTTAGCTGCAATGGCTGTGGAGAGGTACATCGCTGTGTGCTTCCCTCTGAGACACGCTGAGCTCTGCACCGTCAGACGGACTTATATTCTGATCGTCTGGATTTGGGTTTTCAGCTCATTTACAGTTTTGTTTGAAACCATTGTTCTTCTGTCAACAAAACCTCTGGAGTTTTTTCATTCCACAATATATTGTCTGCTGGAAAATCTGTTCCGACACCCAATTAGCACACAGGTGAGAGAAATTAACTATATAATTTATTTAACGGTAGTTTGGTTCACCCTTTTCTTTACTTACTTCAAGATCTTCTTTGCTGCCAAAGCAGCTAACTCAGCTGATGGAAAAACAAAAAAGGCCAGAAACACCATCCTGCTTCATGGCTTTCAGCTCCTGCTGTGTATGCTGACATATGTAGAACCTTTCGTCAAAAATACTCTTATCCGCATGTTCCCTAAATACACTGCTCACTTACGCTTTGTTTCTTATATCATTATTAACATTCTCCCCAGGTTTATCAGCCCCATTGTGTACGGGCTGCGAGACAAAACATTTAAAGAGCATTTGAAAAGAAACTTTACCATGAATCTTTTTCTTTTGCATAATAAAGTATGAGATAGTATTGCAGTGATTAGTACACCTACACTTCTTGTAACGAACTGTTATAAGGAAATTCACGGGTTCTTCTGTTTAAGGAAATAAACATCCTTTCTGTGTAAACATGAGACCACACAAATAAGTCAGACTTTAGTCAGTGAATTCAAGTTGATCTGGTCATAAACGAGATCATTTATTTATAGAATCGAAAT